TGGGCATGATTAAAACTTTTCCCAACCAGCTCTTGAAGAAATGCATCTAGGAAACGTTTGGTTCCAACAGGATGGTGACACGGCCCACAGAGCCCGAGCTTCGATGACAGTTTTGAGGGCAAAGTTCCCCGAACGGCTCATCTCGCTTCGAGGTGACATCCCGTGGGCAGCGCACTCACCTGATCTAACGCCCTGTAATTTTTTTATGGGGATACCTCAAGGCAGAGGTTTTTAAACATCGCCCCACAAACGTGCTTCAGCTGAAGAATGTCATTCGGCAGGAAATAGCCCAAATTCCGGTGCACATGTTGGAACGTGCAGAGGGGAACTTCAGAAAACGGTTGGATCAGTGCATAGAGAACGGTGACCACCACTTCAAGATATTTTGTTTAAAACTTCATGATTTAAAACTTTAAAGTATGTTCTTTCATTAGCTAAACATGAATTTTGTCTATCATCAATAATTCTTCTTTTATTCGTCTTCAAAGAAAAAAAAAGGAAGTTTCTGCGCCCCACCCTGTACATTGTTCCAGGTGAGTTTTCTGAATGAGTGTCTACATATGAAAAATGCTCAAGAATATACGGCAAGCCGCACACAGTTGCTGGACTGTTATACTGACCTAGGAAACAAGACTATCCTACTATTATCCTACTACCATGCAATTATGCTTCCCCCACACCAAAGCGAGCGCGATCCCTGGCGAGAGAGGCAACTACTATAACCCCAGGGGCAAATAAATCTATCAGGAGATCCCCTGCTAAGGTGGGAAACCCATCCCACATCCCCAGACGGCGACGAAGAGTGAACACTTGTAACATAAATGCACGTACATGTGACAAGGGACCAATCAGAAGTCCAAGGACAATACAAAGAACTTATTTAATTCCATATATGGTATAAGTATGTACTCAGTGTTCAGACACATTTAAATGTACATCCAGACTACTTCGAAAGTATCATCCCATGCAAAAGTCGTTTAATGCATAGAGAGATCCGAAACCCTGTAAATATGTAGAAGGCACCGACGTCACGGTGAACTTCTGAACTATCCATGCCGCTCATAATTTCTGTACCATTCTGATGTTTCAGATGTATTTAGACTCGGTGTGTTTACATCTGAAACAGCTCGAACAGGATTGGTAAACGAACTGTGAACATTATTCCTTCCAATATTTCCAAGTTCGCCCCGGCAGATGGCATAACTGCCGAAACCGTAGAGCAATTTCATCATTTTCTGATCCCTTGACAGTGACCAGACCGACCCTGTGGCTCACCCACCCTCATATACAATGGGTACAGGGACTCTCTTCCCGAAAGTAAAGCTGCTGGAGCGTGATGCTCACCACTCATCTCCATCCAGCGTCGAGGTCAAGAATGGGGGAGCTATAACTACATGTCTCCATATGTTTCACGACATAGTGCTTAATTAAGCACAGGAACAAATTAACCTTTTAATATTTCCTTGATTTTTGTATTATGACAATGAATGGATGGAGCAACAGTAATAATCACTCATAAAATTAAATCCGACTATTAATTTTTAAAGTTTTTTTCTTTCAGGTTCAAAACAAATGTACACTGTAAGTGGACACAGTTTTTCGGTCAAACTGCATAGGTGAATGGCCTGATTATGGTCTTACAGAGGTCTTAAGGTACTGCTAATAAACAACACAGTACTGTCAAATATGTATTTTATAGATACTGGTTTCGTGAGACTGTACACTTATCACTATATTATTATCACGTATAGGACTGGGATGCTTATCAAACTTTCTATACTTTTCTTTTCCTTACCGTTATCTAACTGCTTTTCAAGTTGTTGGAACTTTGAATTCTTTACCGCCCTCCTCACTTCGTGGACCTCCTTAATCGTTTACTTGAGATGAAGAACCTCCAATTGCTACGAAATTAAATTACTTCTGTTCACTTCAAAATAAATTGGATTATGTCTTTTAAGTTGGGAACAAAAAGCTCTGGTCAGTATCCTAGCAATGACATAATAAGAGCATTATTGTCTAATACTATCCACGCAACGACAGAATAACAGCATTTGAGTGAAGGCACACCAAAGAAACTGGCAACTTCAACGCAACCACAATTTCCGAGAAATATCGCTGATTTAAACAGGCAAATAATTTCCAGATTAGTAGGCGCACACTGAAGAAACTTATATTTGATTAGTTGCTCGCATTATTTTAAGTGAGTATGTTTGTCCAGCGCAATGAATTACTGTATTTTTTAATTTCGTGCACTTACCTTCTGCAGTGGAAGATAATAATAGTGATTCTGTCATGATACAGTGGTAGTTGAGACAGGGTGAAACGGCGTGGGAAGAGAGAAGGACGACCCATAAGTAAAATGTTGAGGTGTTGATTAATTTGTTTTATTTAAGGTGAGTTTATTTTAATCAGGAAATAACGTGTTCACACGCGATACGAAATTATGATATACAGTAGCACTATTTTAGCAAGATAGAAGACACCTGATGATGGCCGTACACAGCCGAAGCATGTAATGTTGAAGAAGGGTGACTATGTATGTAATAAGTTGCATTTAAGACGGAAACGTATGTTCAATAAACTATTACTCGTATTACTGCAACAGGATGCTTAAACACAATATTAGGAGACGAAAACTTTGGGTGCGTCCGTTCTTCTGTGACATTTTAAACCGAGGCGCTTATATTGTTTCGAAAGAACTTAACCAGTATCCAGCCTCCTTCGTCTCTTGAGAAATTCTTTCCCAAGCCACGTATATTTTGTCCTACCTAGCACAGTCTGGGTATCGTTTGTCATATATACCAGGCTCTTGCTCAATTAACTCCACAAAAACAAAACTAGCAGCTTCATCAACTTTTCGTGCCACCTTAACAAACAAATAAACAGCTGAAGCCCGTTACAGAACATCTGATACTAGGAAACCACGCGGCAACGCAATTGTGAGAAGACTGGCATGCTCTATTGCATGGAAATTGAGTTTCTCAGTCTCTCCGCGAGTTGCGTTGCCGTTTCCTCAATTTGCGCTGCTCCATTCATTAACAGGTGTTCAACCCAGGCTGATAACAATTCTCGGAAAATGCGGTTGCGTTGTGGTTGTCAGTTTCCTTGGTGAACCGCCGCTCTTATTGTCTGAGCAAGTCAGTATCCACGCAACGACAGAATAACAGCATTATTGTCGAAGGAAGTCAGGATCCAAGCAACGACGGCATTATTGTCGAAACGGCAGATGTTAATGTAACAAAATATCTTTTTATATTACGAGCGAAGAAGGGCTATTGTTTCTTATATTTACCGTATCTGCATGTGGCCTTCCGTAGACAGAAATACATAATTTTAATAACAAACGAGTTTAAACTGGTCAGTCAATGTTCGGAAATGAACTGAATATTTATATTCACGGAGGTTACCAGGGTGATGAATTTTCCGTCTGATTTGTGGAAACAGTTCGAGTACGTCATCTAATTGGTAGACAGCTCGAGAACTTAAGCAGACATTATACTCGTATGAGCAGCTGAACTGCTGCAGCAAACCCCTTTTATCTCCATTGAATTAATAAGAAGCTCTATCAGGGAGCCATGACTTTAGTGTCCCTCAAGAGCTTCACCGTGTAAAGAGTGGGTTGGGGGAACGGATGAACCTTTGTATCTTCTGGGACATAACGTCTCGTAGTTCAGAGAAAATTAGCCGATATTTTCGTGTTCTGCTTGCCGCCTGCTTCATGCTGGTTTCTTTCTTGTCTTAATCTTAGACTCTGAAGATGGAGGCGATATGTTCCTCCGATACTTTTGTTCTCTTTCACCGGGCCACACGGTGTTATAAGCTATCTCTGAAGATAGAATTGTTCATAGTTCTATTATTTTAATTTTTACTTTTTTATGCAGTGGACGAGAAGACGAAAATATTCTGATTTGAATGGTAGCAAGCAGTCTCAAAATTTCATCTGCTCTCCCAGTTCCTTCCGGAATGCAAGTCACATTTGTTTACGTCATTCCCCTTGCCACATTTTCAAATGATCAATTATCTGTGTTTATATAACGGTTTTGCCCTGGTGACGAGACATTAATATTATGCATCCTACTCTGTGTTATAAACAAGGTACATAAAATGTAGACAAAAGTAAACAGTCTAGACAATAATATTCTGCATTTAAAACAAAGTGGACATTATCGTATCAACATTTGTTTTTATTGACGCTACATGTTTCGGCCCTTATAGTGGGTCATCATCAGCCGTACAATGATACCAGACTCAGCTGTTTAATTGCATTTAACAATTTGCATCTAATTCTTCAATAAGGATCTTTATTGTGCAGCGGTAGCGTAGCTACTGGCAGGGCCTCCGTGGTGGACAGATCAAAGGGTAAGCATCAGATGAAGAGAGACACCAAAAACCAAAAACTGATGCCGGAAGCAGCGTCATCAGCAGCGACTTGAAGCACATAGCAAATGATGCTCGAGATGGTTCAAGTTCGTATAGCAACAGGCGTGACAAAACTGGCTTGAACGGCTGTTGTACTGCGATGTGGAAAGCAAATGGAAAAACTACCACATTATCACTTTTCCTGGATAGTCTCTTTCCAAAAACAGAGATATCATGCATGCGAGATGTTTCCTCTGGAGACAAAACAAACCGGAGGGGCGGATAGAAGTGCCCAGAAGACGAGGAAGAAGACGTAAGAAGATGCTGGATGACGTTGGGGACAGAAGAGGATACTGTCATTTGAAGGAGAAAGCTCTAGATCGCATTAAGTGGAGGAATTGTTTTGGAAGAGACTGTGGACCTGTCGTCTGACAGATTACTGATGAATGAATGAAACTGAGTCTTTCAGTTAAGATTTTATAATACTGAGATAATACAATTTAAAAATTAAAAATATAAATTCTTATAAATAAGGTACATAAAATGTATACAAAAGTATGCAGTCTACACAACAATAGTCTGTATTTAAAACAAAGTAGACATTATCGTATCAACATTTGTTTTTATTGACACTACATGTTTCGACCCTTATACTGGGTCATTAATAGGCGTTCAATGATACCAGACTCAGTTGCTGAATTGCATTTAACAATTTGCATCTAATTCTTCAATAAGGAGCTTTACTGTGCACATGGAGTGTTTTAAATGCATAAACTGAGTCTTTCAGTTAAGATTTCAGAATACTCAGATAATAAATTATAAAAATTAGAGACGAGAGATTAAAACATAAAAATTAAGATTGTACTCCAATGGAAAATGCTATATTTTGTGATAAATCTCTTTAAAACTTTGGGACCAGTAAGTGTTGACGTGATTTTCTGGTGGTAGAAGCGACCGCAGTGTGAGGCTCCTGCTTATCGACATTTACATAACCGGTAGTTAAGAGTTCTCTGCAATCCATTGTGCTCCAATTACTCCACCAAATGTCTCTGCATAGTGTGAGCCCACTACATAAGCGGGGCAGGTATGATGCGGCAGTACGATTTTCTTCTTGCGCCTTGTTCTTGCTTTCAGACTTAAGTTTAAGGCGTTTAAGAATATTTTCACGGTTCGCTCTAGTGTTGTAGGTTCCTACATTGAAACAAAGGTGGCCTCTCATAAAAGATTAACTCAACATTTAAAATTTTGCTGTTAATGTTTTGTGTAACCACCACTTTTTTTAACTTTCATTTAAAAGTTAAAGGAGCGGATGAGAGAAGATACCTGCCACCGAACTATGCTGACGTATATCAGCATGAGAGGATGTTAGTCGTGCCACAGATCAGATGGTTAGCCTCTGGCTTCCCACCGCGGAGACTCGAGTTTAATCACGGTTAGGGTGACGTGGGATTTCTGACGGACAAAGTGGTTCTGCGGCAGACTTTCGCCTGCCATTTGTCAATTCTGTGACTGCTCCACATTCACCTGCCATAATTATCATTTCCATCCATTGTCGTGTTTTTATTTCAAAAAGGGACATCTTGGTGACTGGGCGCTGTCTCCGTCCTACCAAACGAAAACAGGAGTTTAACCTTCAGGACGTACACTCCGTTGTAAATTTCGACCTTGTCAGTGTGGTCACCACTTTACCAGCGGAAGAAGGCTTACAAGTCATCAGAAATAAATTAATGTGGATGCTTCTTTCTCAGAGCGTTCATCCAAGCAGGTTGAAATATCATGGAATTACTGGGCATGTGTTTAGGAACTACGCATTACCAGTTTGAGGATAAATTCTATTGGCATGCAGACGGAAAAGCAAGGAGCAGCTGACTGTCGCGGCGGCCATTAATGTGTTTATTGAACAGTTTGAGGAGATGGTATTCGACACAGCAAACCACGCATACGCTACATGGCTCAGATACTTTGAGGATACTTTTGTGATTGGGCCACATGGTCCACAAGATTCCAATTTTTTTGCCCACTCAACAGCCTTAGACCCACCATAAAATTCGCAATGGAAGACGAAATCAACATCCATCCTTTCTTGGACGTCTTGGTGATCAGTGTGACGACGGAAGTGTAAGGTGCCGCGCCCAAAATGAACATTGTCTATATCTCACGTCTCACCACCGCCGTCACGTCAGAAGCTGGTAAGATCCCTTACACTGGAGTCAAATATTTTTATTGTCTCTCCGTATTTTATGACGTCACATTGTTTTCACGGCGTTTCATTTGTCTTCCAGTAGCGCAGCGCGGTCTAATTTCTCCTCTATAGCTTGTATATCCGTTCCCATGTGTTGGACTTCGGGTATTAAAGAAACTCTCTCTTTCGCGATGTTGTCACCGTCTTCTCTTGTAATGTTTAATTGTTCTCTCTGTAGAGCTGCATTGAAACGCTGGGTTCGCATTATTTCAGCTGCAATTTTATGAGCGTCCCTATTTTTTCTCACGACCTCACTATCCGCCGCTGTGTGTTGGACTCTTAGTATGAAAGGGTTTCCTTCTTCTTTGATATTTTCACACTCTTCTCCTACAGAGTTCAATTGCTTTTCCAGGAGAAAACTCTTTTGGCACTGGGCGCGTAGCTCTTCTATTACAAGTTTTAAATCGTTTATATCTTTTTTCATGGCGTCTCTATTCCCTGCTGCCCGTCTGGCTTCTAATTTGTAAAAGTCTCTCGCTTTTTTGATATTGTCGCAAAGCCTTCTTGCAGCGTTTAATTCCTTTTCCTGTATATCTGCGTCCTTAATCGTCAATCGAAGATTTTCTATTTCAAATTTTAGAGCATCCCTCTCAATCTTTATGGTCCCTCTACTCTCTGCTACTTTCTGGGCCTTTAGAATGAAAGCGTTTCTCTGTTTTTTCATATTTTCGCACTGCTGTCTTGCAGTGTTCAATTGCTTTTCCAGTAGAGCATTTTCCTCAGACTTGGTTCGGAGCTCTTCCATTTCAACTTTCAGGGTCTCCATAATCTTCTCCATGGACTTACATTCCTCTTCTGAGCGTCGGTATCTGTACTGGAAGGAGTCTCTCTCTTTTGCAATAAAGTCACGCTGCACTTTTACGTCATTTAATTCCTCTTCCAATAGCGCAGCTTTGTCACACTGGCCTCGGAGATTTTTTGTTTCAAGTTCTAGTGCGTTACTTTCCCTTTTTAAAACATCTGTATCCGCTGCTATCATTTGGGCTTTTAATACCATAGCGTCTCTTTCCCGAGTGATGTCCCCGCATTTTTGCATTAAAGAGTCTAATTGTTCTTTCAGTTTACCGTTCTGTTTACATTGGGCCCTGAGCTGCTCTGTTTCAAGCCTCAGGGCGTCTCTCTCCTCTATTGTGTTTCGCGTAATCTCAGCGTTGAGCTCTGCTTCAAAAATAAGGGCGTCCCTCTCTTTTGTCACTTCGTCGGCATAATCTTTTAGTGTCGAAACACACTTAAACTGGTCTCGAAATTCTTCTATTTCTCGTTTTAGGGCGTCCCTCTCACGCTTTATGGCCTCTATTTCACCTGTCATGCATCTTCCTGTGTCAAGAAGTAGCGATCCTCTGTCTTGAGCCATTCCAGTTTCTATGATATTGTCCATGTCAGTTTGACTTTCATCTACCTCGTCCTCTTCACCTGAAGTGGAAGCGTCTGAGTACGATGAATCCTTTTCCATATTTTGAAGCACAGCTCCGTGTATGTGCTGTAAATCTTCACTCTGTAAATAATTTCACAACACACATCAGCGGCCTATGAAGACTGGTCTTATCTCATGTTCAGAAGCTATTATTATTATTATTATTATTATTATTATTATTATGATTTATTCATTTAAATTGCAAATGGGTTTTTACCCGATAGCAGTGGTACTACAATATGACATAACACACAAAATAACACACCACACTCAAACAAAACACAGCACACAAACTACACAAACGACAAATGATAAATTAAGACACAATAAATACAATGAAAATACACTTACAACTATAACAAATACAATTACAACTACAATTATACAAACTAATATTAATAAAACAATAAGTATACTATAAACTAAACAGTAATAGTGTTGGAATTTGTAATGCCATGTTCTGAAGCACCCACATTTCACCATGACTTCCCCTCTATCACATTTCACTTATCACTAAGAATTAACCTACAAAATATACAGTAGTGCCATGGGGGCAGACACTTCGCTTGATATGATTATATAAAATTAATAAAACAGGATTCGCGCCGTGTGAATATGTAATGGGGCACACCTCCTCTTTGTGAGTGCCCTGTCTATGGACATATCAGGATAGGTATCCTGAGAAGTTACTTATCTGTTCTCTCTGTAATGGGTAAAGTACACGACAGTGTAATGTGTACAAATGTGAATCTCAATCTTGCCCTACGCTACTCAAAAGCAGACTTAAATTTTATTAAACATATTGAGCAGAAATATATATTTTTAATTTAATTCTTATGTGATATAACGGGAACGGAATTAGTATATCGCAGAATTGCAACGTGACCAATAAAGGGCGAACTGGAAATTATTTGGAAGGACGCAGCCGTGGTTCTGTGCCGGTGAGATTCTTATATTTATTTTAGTTACGAGCTATAAGCATTACCAGGCTAAACAACATGTCTAGTTACTAACATGTGACAATATTTTCACGATCTAGGGGTGTGACTATAGACGGCGTATGGATTGGTGAACGAATTTATTCCCCGCTCATACAGACCACTCGAAACTACAAGTAATTAAAGAGCCACTACTAATCTCCATAATTCACACATCACCATAGCACCCGCTAAGCCTTCTTCCAGCCTGACGTGTCTTCAACAGTCGTTCCCTAGCAACGGCTTGTAACAGTGGAGATTTTTTCAGCTTCCCGCCCTTAGGTCCCATTGTCACAGCCGCCCGTGTAGAACTCTTCACAGTTGCCAACACTCAATTGACTTGTTCCCAGGTGGGTGGCCACTTCACTAATCTTCTCTTCACAGGCTTTCAACTGAAATGACAACTGAACTCTCCACTAAGCAACCAGCCGTAACATATAAGGGCATGAATAATTGAAATAAGAAAAAATAATTTCTTAACCAGTCACACTGGACGGAACTACGTACTAGTATTTAACTTTTTCATATTATTATTAGTGTGACGGACCAGAATGAAACAAAACAATAATCTCTTAATAATTCCTTGATTTTTGTATTATGGCATTTTTATAGACAATGAATGGATGGAGCAACAGTAATAATCACTCCTAAAATTAAATCCGACTATTAATTTTTAAAGTTGCTTTCTGTCAGGGTCAGTAATCAAGTGTATATAGTGGACATAGTTGTTCGGTCAAACTACACAGGTGAATGGCCTGATTATGCTCTCATAGAGGCCGCAAGGTACTGCTAATAAACAACAAAGTATTTTAAATTAGTAGTTCGTAAAGATTTGTGTGTAAATGCTGCTTTTATGACACTACAAATTTATATATGCCACTATATCATCATATACAGCACTGACAAGCTTCTTAAATCTGCCACCCTCTCAGTTTGCTTACCGTTACCGAACTTCTTTTCAAGTTGGCCTTTTTCAATTTTTTACCTACCTCCTCACTTCCTGGATCTCCTACAATTCCTCGTGATAAAGAACCTCCCATTGCTACCAAATTAAAGTACTTGTCTTCTCTTCGAAATAAATTGGTTTCTGTCTTGTAAATCAAGAATAAAAACTCCGGCCAGCATCAAAGCAACGAAAGAATAACATTATTGTCGAAGGAAGTCAGTATTCAAACGAGAGAATAGCAGCATAATTGTCGAAGGAAGTCAGTATCCAAACAACGAGAGAATAGCAGCATAATTGTCGAAGGAGGTCAGTATCCAAGCAATGATGGAATAACAGCATTATCATCTAAGAGATAACAGGTTAATGTAAGGAAATGTATTTTTAACTTGCGCGCCAAAGGCTATTTACTGCATCTGCACGTGGCCTTTCGTAGACATAAATACATAATTTTAATAACAAACGAGTTTAAACTGGTCGATCAATGCTCAAAAATGAATTGTATGTTTGTAGTTATAGATGTTACCAGGGTGATGAATTTTACCGTCTCACTTGTGGAAACAGTTCGAGTTTGTCATTAAATTTGTAGATAGTTCTTATACTCGTATTAACAACTGAACTGCTGCAGCAAGATCTTTTTTCCTTCCTTGAATTAATAAAAAGCTCTATCAGGGCGCCATAACTTCGATGTCCCTCAAGAGCAGATTGGGGGAACGGTTGAAGATTTATATACCCTGGGATATAACGTCGTATAGACCGGTGAAAATCTGCCGACATTTTGGTATTCTGCTTGCTGATGGCTTCGTGCTGGTTTCTTTCTTGACTTAAACTTACACCTTGAAGATGGAGGCGATATGTTGTTCCGAAGTTTCTGCTCACTTTCACAGAACTACACGGCGTTATAGGCTATCCCTGAAGATCAAACTGTTCATACTACTATTTTAATTTTTACATTTTTAAACAATGGAGGGAAAGAAAAAATATCCTGATTTGAATGGTAGCAAGCAGTAACAAGATTTCATCTGCTCTCTCAGTTAATTCCAGAATGCAGGTCACATTTGTTGACATCATTCCCAAATCTTTGTACTTTGCCACATTTTCAAATATGTGTTTATGTAATAAATTTGCCCTGCATTCTGGTAACAAGACATTTACACATACCAGTAGATAGATTTTTCTACAATTCATTATTTTGTAATTATTCTACCAAATCACTTCATACAGTTATAAGTGGCAGTTCTCCCCCCCCCCTTTTGAAATTTGCTTTCAAGACAAGACTGCATGAAAATACATTTGCAGGGAACAGTATTTCCCACCGTTGATTTTCATTGTACCACGTGCTTGCTGACATATCCAAAATTGTGTCTGTGTGTGTAATGGGAAAGCAGGCAAATGTCATACAATAATAAACATTTACATGGAACAAGGCTAAGTTAGAGAATGGTTATGCTACTTCCCTTTTTTCAGAATGCAAACTGTATGAAGTATATAACAGAACATCTGAAAGACAAAATATAATAGTACTGTTTACCACTTTATCTGGTTCAGTTTTCACACTTTTCCAGACTGCTTTCACTTTATTATTTGCCTCTTAATATCTGTTCATTGTTAAGCATACAGTTGGCCTCTTTAAGGATTTGAGTTAAAACCCTACAATTTTTCTGTATTGAATTTCTGTTACCTGGGTCATACTAAATTGGCTATTTTGGTAATCATCATGTTTGTGTGTATGAGATGTTTTCATAGCTACACCGATCCAACCATCACCTGACACCCTTTTTTCTTGATTTGGTTGAGGAAACTTGCTTAAAAGTTTCTAAAGATATTCACGAATGTGTTAAATTTTGAGTTTACATCATGACTACTTAACACTTGTTCCCAATTTTCTTTATTTTGATGTGCTGTAAATTCTTCTTTAAGTTTCATTATTTGTCATGTCTGGTTTGTTTCTTACCATTATAATATGAATATAATTTTATGGTTTATGCCTAGAAGTTGAGCATCACGATTCATCAGAAATATTACCCTTCTTGGAGCTGTCTATATAAATGTTTGATGGCAGTACTGGAGTAACTCTAAACACCTATACAGTGAACTACTGACAGAAAATTAGAACTTTGGTTGTGGTAACTTTCAGTAATATCAGTGTTTATCACCACAGATGTTAAATTTCTTTTCAACAAAGATACTCCCCCATTTGCTAGATTTTGTCTACAGCAACTAGCTCCTGGCATACACATATTTAGATTAACCTGTACACTCTGGTGCTTTCATATGCTGTTCAGTTAAACATAGTACATTTTATGTATTATTAATAGTCACTGATAAATCATCAGTTTTAAGTCCTCTGACGTTCTGACGCCATGCCACAAAATTCCTCTGATTCCTCGTATTGTAAATTTAGGACTGGCTTTTTTTAGTGGCATGGATAACTTTTAGTTCTAGACCTATGATTTACTGTGTATTATATAAGCTGACAAAGCAATTATCACCGTTGGAGCTCCTTGCAAGTTTAAAGTCTCCAACTGCCTAATAAATAAATTCCACTGACCAAAATAATTACTCTTGCAAGCCACGAAGTTTAAAGGTAACCAATCAAGCTAAGTTAGGAAGGCACCACCATTTGAAATCAATGGCTTGCAGAAGCTGGTGACTTCAAGCGACGTCCATCCAGAAAGTGTCAACTAATTCTAATGCAGTCACTCATTCATGGAGCTGAGCCCTCTTTGGGAAGCTACCAATTGTGCAGCTACTCAAGAACTTCCTAGAATTTTATGGAACCTGAATATTCATTACTGTATTCACAAGAACTGCTCACCATCCATCCATACCATCCCATCCTATCTGTATAAGACTCATTCTAATGTTGTTCATCCACCTATGCCTTGGTCTTCCTAGTGGTCTCTTTCCTTCTGGCTTTCCCACCAATATCCTATATGCATTCCTTTTCTCCCCCATTCGTTCTACATTCGCTGCCCATCTCATCCTCCTTGACTTGATCATTCTTGGCAAAGAGTGCAAAGTTGTGAAGCTCATTATGTAGTTTTCTCTAACCTCCCGTTACTTCATCTCTCTTCGGTCCAAATATTTTCCTCAGCGCTGTTGCCAAATGCAAGTCAGGGTAGCGCAGGTGGTATAGCGACTGGCTATGGACTGGATGACTGAGGGGTCAGAGTTCAAGTCCCGGCAAGATCAAGAATCTTCTGTTCTCCAAATTGTCCAGACCAGCTCTGGGGTCCACCCAACCTCCTTTCCAATAAGTACTGGGTGCAGTTCCACAAGATATTGTGAAAAAAGTATATCATCATCATCAGTAATCTGTCAGATGACAGGTCCACAGTCTCTTCCAAAACAATTCCTCCACTTAACGCAATCTAGAGCTTTCTCCTTCAAATGACAGTATACTCTTCTGTCCCCAAGGTCATCAAGCATCTTCTTACGTCTTCTTCCTCGTCTTCTTGTCACTCCTATCCGCCCCTCTATCTTTCCTTCAATAACTTCTTTTAGAAGGCAGTTTCTGAGTAAAACATGACCAATCCAATTAGCCTTCCGTTTTCTTATTTCGTGTAGGATATTACTCTGCTCACTGACTCTAATTAACACTTCTTCATTTCTCACATAATCGGTCCACCTGATCTTCTCCATCCTTCTCCAACACTACATTTTGAAACTTTCCAGGTGTTTCTGATCTACTGCCCAAAGTGTCCAAGTTTCAGCCCCATACAGAGCTATGCTCCAAATGTAGCATTTCACTAGTTTCTTCCTCAA